TGTCGTCAGCACGTGGATTGCAGTGACACAAAGTTTGTTTTCTTAGGGTTGGGGATCCCCCTACCAGCAAAGTCTACTTGTTTTGTGCCACCGCAATCACATATAATTGTGTTATCAGCATGAATTTTGAAATTTAAAAGCGAGTTGTTTCTTCACTGCTGCCTTAAATGCATATATGGATTTTATACCCTTGATTTTGTCAGGCAGACTATTCCAGTCATGGATCCCGTTAAAATAAAAAGTACAGGTATCTTTCCCTTTACATGGTGGAACAACAAAATTAAAAAGACATGATCGTGTGTTATGCTGATGAACACCTGACACTTTTATGAAGTTTAGGTTTAAGTAGGATGGACATTTTCCATAAAAAATCTTGTGCACATGATTGAGTCTTAATTGTTTGACTCTATATTCTATATTTAACATATTGAGCTTTGACAGTTCAGTGGGAGTGATACTCGTTCTGGGTTCTAATTGGCTAATAAATCTGACAACTTTATTTTGTAAAACCTGTAATTTGTTCTTCATTTTCTTGTTCAATCCTGAGTACCACGCGGAGCATGCATAATCTAGGTGACACTGTATTAGTGCAGAACATAAACTTTGTCTGGTTTTTGTAGTTAGACATTTACTTTGTCTGTATAAAAATTTCAGTCTAGAATTTACTTTCCTCACGATGTTTTCTACTATTTCTTCGCCAGACATACAACAATCTATATTAGCTCCAAGATATTTCACAGATTTAGTTGATTTGATGGTATGATTGTTTGCGACAATTTCAAAATGATCAATTTGATTTTTAAAAAAAATCGTTCCAAATAGCATGCTCTCTGTTTTACCTAAATGCAAAGAAAGCTTATTATCAACTTACCACTCTGCACATGATTCAAGTACAGCACCAAGTTTCGTGGAAATTATTTCTGGGCTTTTATGTGCGAAAAGGATAACACTGTTATCGGCATATAATAGTAATTTGCATTCTCCATCAATGCTGATTGCCATATCGTTGACATAGCATAAGAATAAAAGCTATGTATATGAAGTATCTCTCATGACTATTTTCAGATATATTATATAATTGCTGAAACTTGTTGATAATATACTGCATATGAATTTACACTATTTGATTTACCTCATAAAGAGTCATCACTTATTGGGTATGAGTATCCTATATACAACAAAATATGTTTGTTTCCTGTTACATGTTTGAAACAAATATGGATAGGTATAGATAGGTAATTAATTCAATTTTTCAGTTATTTTTATTTAGCCTATACATAGAAAGGAGAGTGATTTTGACTTGAACAGATCTAGCTTCTTTGAAAATTGGCAAAAAAGTTTAATTTTTGGCCTTTTATATTATGAAAGGATGTGGCCACCTTAGGGTTGAGGGGCTGGGCCAATAAGTGGAAATTGGCAAATTTTAACTTGTAAAAGACTACTTTGTAGAAGGACCTGTCACCATATAAATTGTTACAATATACAGTAAAAATGGCTGAGGCAATAAGGTGACCATATTTTGTATCAGTCAAGTTTCTACAACCTAGAAGGGCATGGCATAAGATGGGTCCAATATAGAGCAAAATAAGACAATTTCATCTTCAAAAAACTACTTTTCCTTAATGACTGTACAGATTATAGCATATCTCAGGTCTGAAAAACTGGGACAAAGCAGTCATAGAGGAATTTTGGGTGTAAAGCTTTATGAACTTTAAATGATCAAGAATCCCCACCATACCCTGAACACATCCATGCTTGCAGGATTGGCTCCATGCATCCTTTCCTGCTCCTGGGGGCTTATTCCCCAGGTCTTAACATGAAACCAGTTCATATCCCTTTCATATGTTGCTGAGCATGAAGAGAAAATAACACTCATGCTATCAAGTCCTTTATGGAGCCCAACCAATCCCTGAGGACTTCCTTCCTGGGTCATAGCATGGAAATTGTTGAGATCCCAAAGCTCATATTTCTTGTATGGTAAGAGGTAATCTAAACAACCAATAAGACAACTCTTATATAGATGAGGTATAATAATAACTTTCCTGCAGAGAATAGCGATCTAAAATGCCCTGATGTATGGGAGGTGTATACCTGATGTAAAGGAGGTGATACCTGATGAATAAAAGGCGTTACCTGATGTAAAGAAGGTGTAAAACCTGATGTATGGGTGGTGTAAACCTGATGTATGGGAGGTGTATACCTGATGTATGGGAGGTGTATTCCTGATGTATGGGTGGTGTATACCTGATGTATGGGAGGTGTTTACCTGATGTATATGGGAGGTAAATACCCGATATATAGGAGATGTACACCTGATGTTTAGGTATATACCTGATATATGGGACGTGTATATACCTGATGTATGGGAGGTGTATATACCTGATGTATAGGAGGTGTACATGTATTCCTGATGTATGGGAGGTGTTTACCTGATGTATAGGTGGTGTATACCTGATGTATGGGAGAATACCTGGTACCTGATATATGGGAGTGACCCAAAGGTGTTTACTTGATGTATAGAAGGTGTATACCTGATGTATAGGTGATACCTGACTTATAGGAGCTGATGCCGGATGTAAAGGTTGTGTATACAGAAGGTATGGGAGGTTTTTATTGGTAGTAGAGAAGGTCATGCATATTTGATTTATAGAAGGTGTATACCTGAATTATAGAAGGTGTATGAGGTGTATACCTGATATATAGGTGGGTTTTTTTTTATCAATTGTCACCCATTTACCCTAGGGAGGGGGTAAATTTTGCTATAGTTTATGGAAATGAGACTTTTCAGTATTGGGGAGGGACAAAATTCCCTGCTATACATATGTAATATTTGTTTTTGTCATATCACAACAACAAATAACAATTGTATTACAACTCAGGTGACCTGTTAAACCCATGGGGCCCTTGTTTTAATGTGCTGTATTAGTTGGATGTGTTGATATTGGCTTCCAATAATAATTCCCCTATAGCTACTTACCTATAATTAGATGTGGGTTACAGGGACATGTCACATACTTATTAAGTGTGCAGCAAAATAAATATATACTGTGATGCTCATTTATTATATATATCTTCCATTGTATATATTTGCAACCAGTCAACATCTTTCTCAACTTCCTGGGGAGCATACAGCCGGGACAGTGCTGCCATTTCGGCACTCACAGCTAGCATTCTACATTTCTAGCACTGCCCAGCCACATACTCATTTACAGCTGGGTAGACTGGAACAAGCAGAGTAAAGTATCTTGCTCGTGTATTAGTAAACTGAATATTTCTCTTGGAAACTGCTTCAAACTTTGGGGGAAAAGTTCAGTTACCATATGCTCCCCTGTGTGATAAAATTCATTTGGAAAAGGAACTGAAATATAAGACATTCTTCATTTTGAAATTATATCTAAGTTCCCTAGTTTATGATCTAGTGCCAGACACTTTTCATAAATAAAGATGAAGAGATTAATTTAATCTAATAGAATAACCTTGCTATAGTGATATGTACCCATACATAGTATAACTATTCTTGATAAAAAATTGCCTGTAAAATATGTTTTATTGTTAATTTTTTCTTGGACTTAAAATTATCCTAGAGAGGTTAATTTAGATCAAATGTAAAAATAAGCAGTTAATGTTCCGGGTTTAATAAATTGTATTTCATTACAAATACTCTTTGTGTATTTAAGATTTGATTATATCTGGTAGATTGCAAGATTCTTTACCACCAGGTCTAAATTAACATATAGGAGTCTCTGAAAAATGGGACAAAATCTAAACCAACTACTTGGGGTGGGTGAGGGGAGGTTAACTAATTTGATTGATTTGGAGGAACACTGAACAGTTATACATATCCTTTACCTGTTTACTCACAAAATACATGAGCACAAACTTTAAGCCATGAATTTATAACAAAGGATAATCAGCAGAAAACAATAAAATTTGCTTACAACAAGCAAGACAAGTGATGTGAATGATGAATGTTGAATCAACTAACTCAGCTTTCTGACATCAACTATCTGTATCTTTACCTCAAAATTGCTGTAAAATTATGAACCAGAAACTTGGAATAAACGGCATACCTCAGGTAGATACATGTCAAAGAAACCAATACTTCCTCCTTAATAATATAAAACAAATAACAACCCCCCACCCCAAATCAAACCAAACTAGAATTCTTCAACGAGGCTGTGTACGAAAAATAACATAAATCAAGATGAATTTTAAAATCTCACTTTATATTTGAGTATGTGGTGACTGATTATGACAATAATTCTGCGCTCTTACCGAGTTTGGCATCATTACAGCTGCACTTACTAGACCCTCACCATATAAATCCTCAGCAAACTACTTTCATTTGTCTCATTTTGGTTGAAAATGACGTGCAACAGATTAACAAATGACAGTGATTCTCACCAATAAGAACTATTTCTGACTCTTTTTCTTTTTGGCCAACAAAACCAATGGTCATTTGAATAATCAAACCCAGCAACTTCACATACATTTTCTAAGTTCCCAATAGCTCTTTGGGACACTCGAGTTTCGTTCGGAAAAGTTTATAACTCGGGATTATTCCAGCCATTTAAGTATATAGTAATGTGTGCTTCCTAATACCAATCTTTTACAATATATGCGTTAATATAATAATTAATATTTAAATATATCAACTAAACTTATTGATAATGTAACAGGGTTAATTTTATTGTCATATATAGTAAATGTTATAATTGTGTATAAATATCCATTTGTATGTGTCCAGGGTGTTTTGTGTATGTGTTTGTCCATTTGTTGGCGTTACATGTTATAGGGTGTGGTGTTCTATGTATTTTGTGTAATGTGTTGCTATTTTCAGTGTAACAGTTTACGCCCAGTGATTTAAGTCCAGAGTCCCTGTTCTTGTCTTGCTTTTTATTGGTCGCTATTTTTATAATCCCTTGTTGGTCAGTCTTGGCGGGAATATCATTGTTATGTCAGTTAGACTCCTGCCTGCCAAGCTGATCACAAGCTCTATGTACTTGTCTTTAAAGTATTCCAGGCAGTTACAAAGTAAATTTCTATGTTTTTTCTGTAAATTATTTCTTGTGTAATAATAGTTTTCAATAATATATAAAGTAACTTCAATAAGTCATAATGTTGAAGTATTTGGAATATTTAATAATTTTCTTATTTTCAAAATTACAGCCATAGAGCTAGAAGTATATGTTTCATAAAATGGTACAAAGTTCAGTTTGAAAGTTGTCTATTTTGATATACCTGTGTATTTGCAAATGTCATAGTAGTAAGGTAATTGTTTGTATTATTTTAGAATTATTCGAAACTTGTACAGAGGTGGCAGTAATAGAAGCATCTAGGATGGCTCTGTGCCATACACAGGTATTTGCCTTATTTCATGTTTAAATTGTTTAGTGGTTATGTCATATAATTTTTTAGACGATGCAATTTCCATGTTGATATATATATGATAGATTGTAGATCATTTCTATAGTTCTGATTCTTATCAATTTAACTGTTACGTTATAATAATTTGAAAGAAGTTATTATTTGTATTATTGGATTAAGATCTATAAAATTGTAAATATATTATGATTATTTAGTAATTCCATTTGAAATGGACTTATCGATGTACATCATAATAGTTAGTTGTGTCCCTTGATTATACGTGCGTGTAATTTACACTGCTCTCTCCACTCAGTGTTAAGTATATTCTTTTATGTTTATTTCAGAGTGTTTACAGAATACAATAAATATACAGTGTGTAAATACATGCTATCTATGCCACCTGCCCTGCCTCTGTGGATTGTACTGTACCAAGCATTGAAGGATAAAGAACTCATTATTACTTAAACAACACCGGTGTTCTCTATTTATATGGAACACAACGGTTACAATGATATTTTATATTGGTGTTAATGACACTCGCGGTAGAAAAATACGAAATAGTTTGTGCGCAAAGCTAGTTTTACACAGCTGCCGTTTGCCGGACTCGATTCATCTAATTTCAAGTGTACTGAAAAGTTTCATCAAAAATATTAATGGAATTATTAAAACTATTTGCAGTAGAGTAGCCGCCTTAGGCTTGAGTAGGCACGTTCCTACACATAATTTTGTCAAGTGTTAATTTTAAGTCAGTATAAATTCAAGAAATTGAAAAATTGAATATGAGTTTCATCAGACATATAAAGCCAGAGATTGGAAACTCGTGTAGATCTCGCAAACGCACGCAGGAGCCTATTGTATTAAGATCCGTCGCGAGACTTGGGCTGCGGTCGCACATTATAGGCGGTATCGGCTTTCGTTATAGATATTTTTATAATTGCAAAAAATATCGGAGACAATTCTTTGTGTTGCCGAAATTGCCACAACGTCAGCAAGATATACAGCTGGACGACCTGTGGAAGGAAACATCAGCTGGAGAGAGATTTTTATTGTCGGATGACACAAATCAACAAGGCCAGCGAATTATTATATTGGCTACTGATGACAATCTAAGAAAACTTTGTCAGGTAACAATCATATACAGTGACGGAACATTTTATTCGTGTTTCGGATTGTTCAGCCATTTATACACACTCCACGGCAGCGTCAATGGAACTATGTTCCCTCTTGTGTTTGTACTGTTACCAAACAAAGCAGAACATATATACTTACAACAGGTTGTTCAACCTTTTGAGGGATGCTGTGCTTCAAATGAATTTGATTTTGGTACCAGAAGTAGCCATGTTGGACTTTGAAGAAGCTGTCCGAAACGCGATAAATGCTGTGTTCCCACTTACGACAGTGAAAGCCTGTTTTTTCCATTACACGCAATGCATTTAGAGAAAGACACAGGGATGTTGGTAAGCTGCGCGTTACAAACAGGACGACGAACTGAGAAAGTTGGTAAGTGAAATTATCTAACATTAGTCATAAAAGAATCCCTAGTTCCACCTTCCCGCTTTTCTCGAAAATTACATCAAATCTAAACAGATCGCAGCCTCTATAATAATTATAAAGTTCAAATTCTTCTAATTTCAGAAATGTATTGCATGTATGTTTTCCATTCGGTAAAGGTAAGAAGAGCTGCTGTCCTACCCTTGGTTCCGACCCGACAAGTGGAGGACGTTTGGTTCAATGATCTTGATGACAATGAGGACAACAGCCGAGAGGCTACCCGTTTCAAGGACTATGTCACAGAAACGTGGGTGGAAGGACAGCAGCTGGAAATGTGGAACCACTATGACAACACCGGGCCTCATACAACTAACCATGTAGAAGGATGGCACAGTAAAGTAAACAAGATGTGCAAGCATGCACACCCGAACATTTATGCGATTGTGAAGTTGCTCCAGAAATTACAGGCTGCTGACGAGGTTAGAATGATTCAACTGTCTGCCGGAGGAAAATCACGACCAAGAAAGAAGAAGTATCGACGTTTGGATGAGCGCCTTACTCAACTCAAGGACAGGTTCCGGAACGGACATATTAATGTGAACACGTATGCTGATTCAGCATCCCACTTACTCCATTTAGACTGAGATAGTGTATGATACGGTCAACACGTGCATGTTGATTCAGCATCTCAAAAACTGTTTAGCTCAGGTCTTCAAGATTGACCCAACATTTTAGTGCTTTATATATGTCCTATTTATATGTATTAATTGTCTTTTAGAGGTACATGTAATTATTAAGCCATAATAGTTCTGGAAATATGTATTTTTTATGTGCAATATGTTTTTGACTTTTAACAGATGTATATCTCTTTGGATTAATAGGTGTGCTTTTTATGTAAGAATATGTTTTAGTGCCAAATATTGCTTTTAAATACTTGCTGTACTTTAATATCTGTACTTAAACTTGTTATAGGTAATGTGATATTTGTAAAACTAAGCACCTAATATTTTAATATTTTTTCTGTTTTAATAGGTATAATACAATTACTTTGTTATATTTTTATATATGTTAGTGCTATATAAAAAATGCATGTACTGAGTATGTATTTCATACTATTTATGTTTGAATGTTTGGTAAATAAATAAATAATCAGTAACATATTATATAGTCTCAAGTTATCTACTTTTATGAGTTTGACTATAGCGATTACCTGTAATTAAGGCTATTGTTCTGCACTCAACACTAGTCTCACCTGGCCAACATGAAAAGCTTACCTGTAGGTAACAAAAATACCAAATGTTGGCAAGGTGAGAAGACACGAATAATATGTTGATACACCCTGCAATTAGACGAGGTGGAGAAAAAAGTCTCACAGTCTTGTTTTGAAATATCTAACAATCTGTGTTTTTCTTAAAACCAAAAATTGATGTGTATTGAAGCTACATGTGCTTGCCAGTACTCTGACATACCAGTAGAACAGAGTTCTTGTTTAACAGAAGCCACCCAATTTTCACAATGTGGGTTCGATTCACACTCATTGTACATATCTTGATAACATGCATTTAATATACAGTTGCTAGAAGTCAATAGGTTACAACAGTACTTCAAAATTCTAATTTTCCCCGAAATGATAAGAGGATATCTACCCAGTTCGAAAAAGATCATCGAGTTTGGTGTAGATTTTCGAACTCCTAAAATTTTCTTACACAAGTTTAGACGTAGTTGTTCGATACCAGGCGCTTTGTGTAAACCTAACACCTAGCAAGCATAGTTGGGTACACTGCCGACATATGTGTCAAAAAGTGACAACAGTGTGCAAACATTTAACAACATAGATTTTCATGATCTTTTCAGCTTGTGACGCTAATTGTTTATGCGTTAAATTAAAATTACCATTATAATTGAGTTTTAAATAGGAAAAAGAATTTACCGACTCAAGTGTTGACACCATCATACCACCATGTTTCATTATTCTGTAATGCAGCCAAATTTCTGAAAACTACAATTTTTGTTTTTTCAACGTTAACTGTTAGAGACCACCTCCTAGTATATAATAACAATTCACGTGTTGTAGGCCGTCAACACTTTCCGAGAAAAGCACCATATCGTCGGCGTATTAGTAAAAATAACGACAACTCTTGTAGTTCTAAAGGTTGAACACCACTGTTGAAGAATTCCATCTCACAGTCGTTTACAAACATACTAAATAATATCGGGGAGACAATTTCCCCTTGTAAGACCCCGGTTTTGTTATCGAAAAAAATCTGATAACTTCCTATCTACGGTTACACTTGATTTGATTTTACTATACAAAGATTTGATCACTTTAAAAGCTTACCCCTGACTCCAAGTTTAGAAATCTTATACCAAAACTTATATCTCTCTACCGTATCAAAAGCCTTAACAAAAATGGCATTTACCGTACCTAAGCCAGGACGAAAACCAAACTTGTCAGCCCATTGGACTAATCTGGTGTTCAAAACACAAGTAAATAATTTTAGCATGTTACAAAGCAAACTAATTCCAATATAGTTGCCCGGACAATCAAGGCATTAGATAAAACTTTTGGAAAATAACCGACCGCCGGTATAGCATTGAGCATCTTTTGTAAAATAGGAACAAAAACCTGTTTGAACTCTATAAGATACTGTTAAAAGTTTGAATTTCTTGTAAAACAACTTAGGGTTATGCACTTTGATATACTCCATCATATCACACTGCACGTTCAAGTAGGAACGTTTTAGTCTATACGCTCTGTGACCTTATAAGCCCGCTTACTAGAAACAAGCCGCTCATGATTAACACTTGACGGATCAGCGTTGAAATTTTTCAAAGCCCGGCTATAACGCATAAACAGAAATCACACAACTAACAAATAGGTGTAAAGTGAATAAAATGCACATTTCGTTGCTCTTAAAAAAGGCTTTATTATGAAACAACTGGTTTCTTGAAACTTTTTTGACGATATATTAATCAATATTCAAAAATATTTTATGAAGTCGATATATAAAAAGAACAATAATAAAATACTATAGAACATAAATCACCGAACTGATTTAAAATTGACCGTCTAGAACAAAAACGAGGACAATCTTGCCTATTGTTTTTTAACTAAAATGTAATGGCTGCCCGCGTGATGACTTCTCATTCTGAAATCACAGTATATTTTCAGATTAATTTAGCAATTTTGTAGTTATTTCACAAAGCTGAAACCAAAAAAGACAAATATAAAAATATAAAAAAAATTGTAAAATATAAATCACCGAACCGATTTAGTATAAACTTTATTTTATTATCGGTATAATATTACAGTAATGCACACATGATATACATATAGGATTCAAAAACAAGTACAAAGTACTTATGCTAATCCGTCTTCTTTGTTTATAAAACGGCGATTGGACGGATCTGACGAATATTATGCATAATGGAAGATCTAGAGAAGAGGATGGGGAAGGAAGAAGGGAAAGAGGTGCAAAAGGGTTTAAAGAAAGTATTGTTGGAGGTAAAATATAAAGGGGAGTACATTACATTTAATGCATTATGGGAGGAAAAACTGATTGGAGTATATTTTGGATATGGACACATGTCGATGACTGTACGTGTCACTGAGGTATTCAACACACAATAAAGTAATTGCATATAATTTAATCTTGTTTGTAACGTCGCTTTTGATTGGCTGATACAGCGGCGTAATAATTTCTAAGAGAAAAGAGTCCATCGGTAAAAGTGGATTTCCACAGGCAGACAGACAGACAGATTCTTTATTTCCTCTGGATAGAGATTTCAAAATAACACCAAACAATACAAATGATAATAACAGTTTCCGATTCAAAAATTGATCGGAATATTTAGTTTAAATCATATCAAGTCACGTTCACTTGTAATTTAGAGTCTTGAGTTCATGTTGTAGAGCAGCAACTTAACTCCGTCCGCAACAA